AACTTGGGCCTTTTCATGGCAAAAGTGAATAGGCATTCATCCATCGTCGACCTCATCGTCACTTTCCATCAGGTGAGATGGAGGTCATATGCGAAGTTTATAAAAAAAAATAAGCAAAAAATAATGCATTTGTCGGCGGCGGCGGCGGGAGGGAAAACGTGGCGGCGGCGGCGCGCAGGCGCGGCGCTCATGTCTATTCCCATAGACATCCTTGACCTGACGCAACGACCAGGAAATTGAAAATGCGAATTACTCAACTCCTCAACTTTTTGCGGTTGAACTAACGTGTTTGTAATCATTAAATTTCGACAAGTTGTTAGTTTACAGGTAATAATAATGTTAATGCACAAGCACATAGCCTCGCACTGGGGAAACCCTGTATTGCAGGTGCCATGTAGACACACATAGACAAACACAAATTACACCCAAACTTACGAGAGAAATAAATTTCCTGGCCCGGGAATGGAACCTGGGACCATGGTAACCGTTCGGCCACGTAGGCAGACGGTAACTTTACTGAATTTTGTGGGTGCACTGTTTTATATGGTAGGTTTTTCATTTTAATTCATGTTTTTGTATTAGCAATCACGTATATAACCATTTTTTACTCTACTTTTGTTTTACATTGCACTAAATAATTTTAAATTATATTTTTTAGTATTGTCAATTCTTGAATTGAGAAAGATATATAACGCACACACGCACACACACTTAGCCCCGCACTATAAAGACCCTGTATCAGGGGTGCCACGGACACACACATAGACAACTACAAATTATACCCAAACGAGAGAAACAAATGAGGCCACACAAATATTTGGCCGGCCCGGGAATCGAACCCGGGGCCTCTGCGTGACTGCGTTCTAAAGAACTTTTTCTGTATCATAGACAGAACCTGGTTACATTTCCCAGTCGGAACCAGAGGCTGAATATTTTAGTACTCGTTTTCGTTGACTGACAGTCTGCACACCCCAATTTTTATGATTCAAATTAATACTATATCAATATTTTTTGTTAGATATGAGTTCATTTGCATTAAGTGCTTTAAGGACTAAGTTGATATGGCTACCAATCCGATTTCGCCGAGATATGCACGTTCTTTGTCTCCTTTACAAAATTCTACATTACCCCCAGCTTCCTCATTATCTATGTTCCCGTTTTTCTCCCTTATCCCCCAGTTCCCGCCCAAAACGTACCTGTGACACTAGATCACTAATAACTCCTCAATCCAACTCGAAATTCTTCCACAACTCTTTCACGGTAAGTGCAACTCGTATGTGGAATAAACTGCCTGCTGGCATTCGTGACAGTCCATCGGTGGCATCTTTCAAACATAAATTAAAAGAGCACCACCTGTCGAACGCGTTAGATAGCTAATAGGTAACATATATTATAAAGTACTAATTTGTTTAGATTATAATATATATTCTGCTTATGTTTGTATTTATGTATATAAAGTTCATGTACGTGTGTATATCTGTCATATGTACATATTATCATCCTTTATATGTATATATATATATATATATATATATATATATATATATTATTAAATTATTTATTTTACTCACATTTAAATTTTAATTTTATTGTACAATAATTAGACCCGCAGACTTCATTTTTCACCTAGGCTAGGGTTGGCGGGAAGAGATCTCTTCTAGAGATAAGCTCACCTTTGTATATGTCCTTTATAACTTGTGTTTCATGTATCTTTTCTTTGTGCAATAAAGAGTTATTATTATTATTATTAGTCAGTTAAATGCATATTTTGAGTTTAGTGATAAATCAATTTCATTCACACATTGTAACAAGCCTTTTTTAAAATTATTTTCATAGAAGCTAATACCTATCAAAATTTGATTATTTTAATAAAAGAATGTTTGTGTCTACCAGTACATTTCATTAAAAATTACTTTGAATTACATTTATTCTAACTAATCTGAATCCGGTTCAAACAAAACGGGGGCAAAAGAAATCGAGGGCGAGCGAACCCGTTCCTTAATGATAATGATTTTATTGATTTTTGGAATACAATGGGTATCGGGGTTTTTTAATTTTAATTTAAAGTTATAATTAATTGAATTATAGCATTATGACATTTCTATCGACTACTCTGCCATGAAAGCCACGGAAGTGAAAAACTACCCTCGGACGAATCTGCGTAGTAATTACAGGCCGAGTCTTTAATCAAGTTTCTTTTAGCGACTTGACACCGTAATCTAATTTTAAAAGTATGAAAACTTTCGCGTCTGCCGCATAACCAATTGCCAAGTGTCATTTAGGTCGTTCAAAGCCGGATTTTTTAAATAAAACGTATTTCCGAAAACTCATTTGTTATTATCATTTATTTATTTAAAGAGCTTTGTCACAAAAAGTGACTTCTTATTTAGGAGAGTAGGGAAAGTATTGAATAAGGTTATAATTACCTTAACTACAAGCTTTTCTCTACTAATTCATATAATATCTTGGCTACCCTCGACAAAGGTAAAGCCAATGCGTGTTGCATTACTTAACTTGTCTAAATTGATCAGATATAGAAGGTACACTAAATTTAAAAGACTCGTGTTCTTTTTGTGGTACCAAGTGGCGGGACGTAGAACTCAAGTGCTTTTTCGTGTTCTGCGACAGAGCTTTATATCGCAAAGATCTGAGGGGCTCTGCCACTGCGCCCGACACCCTTAGACAAATGTAGACAAGTCCCATGTGCCTGTAATATCAGCAGCACCCCCTTCAAGACCAGAACGCAGTAATGCTCACGTTACTGCTTGGCGGTAGATATTGGTAAGGCACTTGTCTGGGTGACTATCAGTATATGATGTACCTCTACATCTTTAATCACGTCACGTACAATGCAAATTTGTTAATTACGGCTCTTTTTTCTCCATCATATATAAATTTTATTCAATGGAATATGTTTGGAGCGAGTGTAGTTGTTGATCTAAGAAGAATTGTACGGTTCGGATTAGATAGGTTTATACCAAGAATATATAATCTTAGACTTTTCATTAAAAAGCTCTTTCCACATATCGTAACATTCACCACCTTAGCTATTTCTGCCGACAAACAGTAATGTGAGCATTACTGCATTCCGGTTTTGGTGAAATTACAGGCAAATGAGACTTGTCAACGTATGTCTCGCTATTGCAGTGCCCCTAAGATCTTTGCGGTTTAAAGCTCTGAGTGGCACTGCAACTGTTACGGATAGGCATGTCGCTTACCATCAGGCGCACGACTTGTTCGTCCCATCACTTGGTATTATAAAAAAATGTATAGTTTTCAGTCAGCTGTGATTATGGGATCTGTAAAGAAGCCGACATTTTGGTTTGTTTGAAAATACAAAACAAAGTATTCTATAGAATAATCTAAATATTATTATTATATTAGATCCGATAACGTAGTTTCATTACCAGTACGCATCAATCGCGACAACCTGAAGATGGACGAAATATTACAGGCACTGCCTATTCGAGCTCATGTGGTATACTGCCCTCCTTGTTATAACTACCGCATTTGTATTTTGATAACTTTCGAGATTAACACTGAGATACCGCTTTAATTCTACAATGAATGGCGCGTGAGACGACACACCGCGAGATTATACGAATATTTGCGTCGGTACACGGCGAGCGGCGGGTTAGCACACTTACACGTCGCGCTGCTACGTTTGAATGGAGTTATCATACTTGTCTTATTATATTATGCTGCTCTGCTTATTATAACTTATTGTATTTTGGTAACTTAAAGAATATTGGCACGTAAACTTATTATTTTCTTTGAAAAAATGTAATTTCTTTGAAAATTGTCAGTTACGCAGATTTTGCTTAACAATAAAACTGAAACTAAATTAGATATAAAAACATCGTGTGCAGAGGGTTGTAGATAGCTAATTCCAGATAATGTTTATAACTCTCGATTTCGCTAAAAATGTCGATTACGTTAGTTGTGATAATGAGGGCAGTATATTTATTACTAGTTTAGAAGAAATATGTGCAGAATTACCGATATAAGCCTTGACGTTATCTCAGAAACCTCTTACGTATGATGTTAAAAGAATCGTGTCATATGCGTTGACGTCAGGAAAAAAGATAGGCCGAAAGTGTGCCCTGAAACGAAGGCACAACTTCAAACACTTATCTTATAGGATGGTACATGTGCTTGAAGATTGTGCCTTCGTAGGTCTCTTAGTGGGTCTAAACACTGTGTGTTTGTAAACAAATTTATAATAACTGTTTTTTATTGCCTGAATTCCTAAACCGTTAACACAAACTTGCTGCAGTGGTGTGTAGACCCCCTAGGTTCTTCAAGCAAAACTTTATAAAATGTTGAATAATAAATAACAGCGATATTGCAAAAAAAACTCGTACATCTTTTTTCGCACACGTTTTGATGACACCAACATTTTCATCATCATCATCGTCATCATCATATCAACAGGAAGACGTCCACTGCTGAACCTAGGCCTCCCCCAAAGATTGCCACCTATCGGTTACCCGCCGCCCTTACCAGGTCATCCGTCCATCTAGTAGGGGGCCGTACCACAGAACGCCTTCCAGTTCATGGTCTCAATTTGAGAACCTTTCTGCCCCAACGGCCGTCAGTTCTACGAGCTATGTCCCAGTGCTATGTGCCATTTCAACTTGCTAATCCTTAAGGTATGTCGGTGACTTTCGTTCTTCTACGGATCTCCTCATTTCTGATTCGATCTCGTAGAGAAATTCCAGCAACATTTTGGGAGTTGGTAATAATAAGATATTAGATCGGCAATAAGCACATAGAAAAACTCGTAAGAACTGCTGTTTCTGTGTTGTTGGAAGAGCGAGCCCCGGTCTGGCAAACGGTCCCTGGTTCGTATCGAAGGAATTTTTCTTTGTGTTTGTTCGATCTTTGTATCAATAATAAGTCCAAACTAGGAGGAGTATTTTGCACAATTGATACACGAACATCAATAGTAGTAAAAACATTATGATATTCAACAGAATAAATATTGCAAGAAAACTTACTTGGGCTGTATTAAATGAAAGGGCATTTTTCTGACTGCTTCCTCGGCTATGTCCAATGGAAAGGCGAACTCCAGCATGTTTTCATTTAGACAATCGTTGTATGTAGATGCCAATTGACACCTGTCAGACATGCCTTCAATGCTGTCTAGACAAATTCGGGATATGCTGCTCAGTTTTCTGACCACACGGGAGTTCTTACCGTTGACCAGACTGGCCAAATGGACCAGGAGATCCCTGTTAACCTGAGAATAAAAGAATAACGAGTAAACCTTAAATAATCATCATCATCAACCCAAATACATCCCACTGCGGTGAAGGATAACGTCGTGATGAAACTTGCATGTCGAAGAAGGGTTCATAGTCCTCAGAAAACGTCTGAAGTCTCCAACCCGGATTGGGTTAGCGTGGTGGCCTGTGACCTGAATCTTGAATATAATGAGTAAATGTAATAAGTAAACTTCAATTCCGCTGTCCCCTTTCCAATTCTCTACCTGCAGACTTGTTCCTTCAACGGTATAATTTGGGTCTTTCTAAGGCGAGAATGAATAGGCATTATTTAGGTGTGCATGCATTTAAAAAAAAACGAGTAAGGAAAAAGAATTTTTCTGAAAAATACTTTAACGGTGTATACATAAAATGTACCATAGACAGTAGACAATATAATAAGTTACGCTGCGGCCCGCCGCTGTTCCCCCGCATTAACGACACTAGACAGTACTGTGAGTAGACGTATCAATCTGTCACTGCCAGACAATTAATGTCTGTTCTAATCCATTTTCAACAAAAAGTGAACAAAACTGTTTAGTTAAAATTCTAAAGCAATCACACAATAAATAGAACGAGTAACATTTTTTGAAGATTTCGACTTGATCTCTCACTACTTTTTTCAACATCATTTCAGCATCGTAAAATTGTATTTGAGAAATGGTAGTCCAAAAGTGACGTTCTTTTTCATCTATACATCTATGACTTGTTGCATAGTGCTGTATGAAAAAAATATTCGGTTCATTCAATTAAAGTTTTTGTAATCGATTAGTAAATCGAATATTTCAATCGTAATTGAAGGAGTATATAAGTGTAAGGATTTGAAGGAGGACTTAAAATTAAGATTTCGGAAAGTTCAAATACGTAGGTTATAGGTTATGTAAGGAAAACCGCTAGTATAACTCAATTGAACAAATCGATTCATTCAATTAATTAATCGAGTTTAGTTGGCATTACAATTGAGCATCACTAAACCGTCTATGGTCGGGTCAGTGACTTGTTTGTTTATATTTTGTTGAAAATGGATTGAAACGAAGTATACATCTCATGGTAGGAGGCACTTATCTAAAGGTTGACCCTCTGCCTTTGATCTTCCTTTCTCTGATGCTATTAGTAATAATATAGCTTGACTGCCTCCGTGGCCGAACTGTTATTATACTGATTTGCCATGCAGAGGTCCTGGGTTCGATTCCTAGGCCGGGAGAAATATGTGTACGGTCTACATTTATTTCTTTCGTGAGTTTGGGTGTAATTTGTGGTTGTCTATGTGAGGGGCCATGGCACCCGCGACACAGTTATTCCGTAGTGCGGGACTATGAGTGTGTTGCGTTATTATTATTATATAAAAAATCTTGTATTCAATAATATAAGCATTTTTTTTACTTCTTCAAAATTACTCGAAATAACCTAAGCGGTGTTGATTACTAAGCTCCGAAATGCAGGATTTCTAAATTCTACAGCTCTGTTGGGTCTGACTTTTAATGCATCAAATGTGGCTTGTTCATTTGCTATATTGCTTTGTAAAGTCGAATGTCGGTTGATTACAAATGATATGAGAATTCGACAGTATTGGTTTCTGATTAATTAAGCACGTAATTAAATACGTAGAAAAGACCCCCAAAACTTTGATTCTGTGCCCATCGCATAGCTGTCTATTTACATAGCTATATAGTGGTATTTATGTAATCCCGCATACATTATATGTTTCTAGATTCTTTAACAACGCATACACTCATAGCCCCACACTATGGAAACCCTGCTTCGCGGGTGTCATGGACATATAGATAGAAAACAAATTACATCCAAACTCACGAGAGAAATGAATGCCATACAAATGTTTTTCCTGGCCTTGGAATCGAACCCGGAACCTCTGGGTGTAGACTGGTGTGGTAACCGTTCGGCACGGAGACAGTTTTTAGCAGTTCTTTGTCATTATTTTATGGTATTTTCGTTCAAATATACTATGGATTCGAAATATAATGTTCCCTTTTGCCTTTTTATTTTTGTAAGAAAAAAGTTTTTTCACGATTGTATGTTAGATTAGAAAATGATATTGATAGCCTAGAAACAAAAACCGCGTTACATGATGTTGATTGTGATTAAAAGAACATTTCGGGCTAAGTTTCGATTCCATTTTCACTGTTGCTCTTTTCATTAGAGACACAAAAGTTAAGCAGGTGAATTAACTGATAGAAGAGCGGGTTAAAATGTGCTATTTCAAAACGATATTTACACCATACGCCAGCACAAACCTTTCCATGGCTTATGACGTCACTCTGCTCCAGCATACAAGCAGCGAAACATTGCCCCGACCTTGTGACTGGGGGTGAGTTGGTGAAATACGCTCGGACGTCTTTGGGGGTCGCTCGAACTTTGATGACGCAAGACTGTGCCATTCGAACTAGTGCGTCGAGATGACCTTGTACCTGTAAAACAGGGAATTTTTGTTAAGTGGAAAACGCATATAAAATATGAATTGTAATTAGACGTCAAAAATTTTTTGCAAACCGAGCAAAAAAGTATATTTTAAATGATAGTTCCCTATTTTTGATGACAATATTTAGAACGCTTTTTACTTCACAATTTGCAATACATACTTTTACATAATATCATTTAATACAATAATTATAATAAGAGTATGTTTAAGGTCGTAAATAATTTTGTGACTGGTAACACAATCGGGTACAAAAACATTTTTTGAGCCGCCATTTTGTCGAGTCATGGATGTCATTCGTGGTTCGTTTCTCGAACTCGAAGTTTTCTTGTCTCCATAGTGAGTTTGTTAAATTATTGTATATTGTTGTTAAAGTCTTTCTTTGCTGTTAATATTTTCTAACTTATCTAATTTCAATTATCATTAAAATTGTAGAAAATGAGAACATCCTCCTTTTTCAATTCCGTTAAAAATAGACAGCCCCATATTTTTCTACATTAGTTTTGATTATAGTAACCCTCCCTACCGACCCTTAGGGTATACGAGAAGGGCACCATAACCTGTGCGCGCACAGGAACCTCATAAGTTCAGGTTCTGACCCCAGATCAGCCAGTGTACTGGGCTGTCACAAACTTCTGTCACTTGACTTCATCCGGTTCTTCGAGAGGCTGGTACTAGTACCTCGAGTGAGCCGCCCCGGGTGCACGTACAGTAGCTTCCTTATTTTCAGATAGATACCGGAGCTATAGGCACGCCCACTTCCCGTTGCGCATTGCACAACTGGCGGTTGCCACCGCTACGCCGTCGACTCTGAGTCCACTACCAAACCTCCTCATTGATTACTGGCGGAGCTGTAAGGCACGCTCATTTCTCGACGCCGAAAAACAATGTCTTTTCAGTTCCAAATAACCTAAGCGGCTGGAGGGACCGGAGGATATCTAGCTTATCCTCTACTAGCTCTCCAGGCTAGTGCCGTAGATGCCAGTCGCAGTTAAAAATAAACAGTTTAACACGCCTGCGTTCACACTTTGACAATGACAACACTTTGGACATCTAATTATGAGTCATACTGTAGTAGATGGACCCTCGCCATGCCGCGGATTTTTGAAGTACCTGATAATACACTACGGACGATATGCAATGAGTAAATACTAGTGCTATCTTTCCAAGAATCAAAGTTTTCTTTTAACCTTTACATATATGATAAGAATTATACATCACCTTGATTACTTTAACATGACAGGTAGGTCAATACTTTCGTACCCTTACTTACTTATGATGTAAAATGTCATAATTCAGTTATAACTGTGGCCTTATAACATCAATGGTGGATTTGTAGGTTAACATGAATAAAAATAGTCGACAATTACCTTGGGATCTGTGAAATCTACGAGTGTACCATAAGAAGCAGAATGTTGTCGTTGATGTGGCTGATTGGCGGCCAAAATGCTACCGGGGACGATCAGGACCAGAATTTGCAGTAGCATTATTATTCTGAAAGAATATTATATTTTATTGAAATAATATAAAAAGTACTGGAAAAATTTGAATTCGACCTGAGGTAGTATCGACTTTTAACAGTTACAATGCCTCATATTAAATCTGAGCACAGATCTGTAGGGCTAGCACGATAAGGTGCGACTTGGGCAAAAGCGACATAACGCGGGGGAGGTCATTGCGCCCGTCACCCTGTGACGTAAGTTGAAAGTCCCATGTCTTTGTAGTTTCACCAGCACCCTTACCCTCCAAAACCGAAACGCAGTAATGCTCCTTTACTGCTTGCCCGCAGAAATAAGTAAGATGGCAGTACTTCCTGAACGAACTTTTTATAAGGAGCTGTGCTGCTAGTAAAGACGATCAACGCCATTTGACACCGGTTTTTACGGCGTCGCCAATTCTGAGGTCCAGGGCTCAATCCCCGACAGGGACCGACTGATCCCAAAGTAACAAGTACTTCAGTTATCTACTATTTATCTGCTACGTACCTATAATGGATCTGTATTAATCGTGGGCGTGGTACTGATGTGGTATTGGTAACTTTTGAATCACCTAAAAAATCAAGTTCGATTACTTTCACTTCTTCTAAGAAACAGTTACAAGATATCCAGGTGTTACGTTGTCTTATAGGTTTACAGTTGCACAAAAGTAACGAAAAAAAGAGTGCCAGCGCAGCTATTCACTGTGTTCGCGGTAAGCGTTGCACTCGACAAATTCATTCAATTTTTCTCTGCGGCTCCTATAAAAAGTACTTACAAAAAGAAGAGTCAATTGTGAAGTCAGAGCGAAACAATTGTTATTGTTGCGACACCGGACTTCGTTGTTTCCTTTTCGCGCCAGATGTTTTGCAGTTGGGGGTGTTATTGGCTGCATGCATTTTTATTTACAATTCGTAATTTTATTCGCCAAAGTTGCTTTGTTATTACGTAACAAGACTGATTATGAAACCAGCACTCATAATTTGTAACGCTGAGTTTAACACAATACTGTTTAGCATTAACTGTTTTGGAAGTGACTCCAGCTGTAGTATATTTTCTTCCACAATTCAATTGAGAATTTCGTGTTTTATTTTGTGATATAAGTAAGTAACCATTGTTAAAACTGTAAGTTGTATCCATTAGTGTTGTAAAGGACGATTGTGGAGAAATGATCAACCCTTACCTTTTTCTGCCGTTTTATTCACACTCTATTAGTATATGATGTACCTTATTACAGCAAATTAGATGATTATGGTTCCTTTTTCTCCACCATATATAAATTTATTCAATGTTATATGCGATGGTGTAATTGTTGATCCAAGAAGAATTCAACGTTCGGATTGGATAGGTTTATACCAAGAATATTCAACTTTAGACCTTTCATTAAAATCCACTCATGGCATGACGTTAAGGTCTCCCTCCTGGCGACTTACGTATCCTGATTCTGAGCTAACTGGACCCACGCTTTACCGTAGGAGTTTATCGTAGGCAGTTCGTCACGCCATCGCTTCCTCGGACTGGGTGATTAACTTGGCTCACAGGTCTCCAGGCAAGCGGCAGACATGACCAGCCAAACTGCATTTCAGCTTCGCAGCTCTTTGGGCTACATCAGCAATCTGAGTTTGGGGGTGCAGTCGTGTCCCAAATTCGGTAGGCCCGTTTAACACCAAGTATGCAAGTAAGAGCGCAGCGCGCTTATTGCTTATTGGCAGACCCCGAGTTTGGACTTTTGGATTTTTTTGGACCAAATCAGCGCCATAAGTAAGTACGGGAAGGATACACATGTACATCAGCTTCTTTTTGAGAGACATAGGGAGAGTACCCCTCATAAGATCTTTCATGGACCTATAAGCTTCTCCGTGTATTTTCAGTGCGTCTAGCAATTTCTTGCCCGCAATGAAAGGAGTCTGTTTAAGCAAAAAGTTGTCGACTAATTTTGTTGGAAGAATATTTAAAGAAGTCTCCTGAAAATTTATCATTTTGTAAATGTGGCCTTATGGCACTAAGGCTGCGATATTCTGAGGAAAAAAATGGTTGAATTGTGATACCAATGTTCATGAACCACTGGCCAACTATACCAGAACGTTTAATTTGAAAAAAGAATGACATCAATCGTCTTTTGGGTATGTTCCACAAATCCCTACTAAAAAAGCCCCACTGGTGGTGATCCTAAAGTTTGATTTAATTTTTCCTATGTCATCGACCTAGCGCGCATTATCTTTTAAAAAGTGTAAAAGCGTCGATATTTTGCCTGTGTCTGTCTGCGTAGCAAGTACTACGCCAGGGTGGATTTGTGGAATAAAATTAATTAAACTTTTGGATTTTTTTCTCGGTTTTTTGTGGAACAAACCGTCTTTTGTTTTTTTTTACTTGTATAAGATCATTGATTTCGGTTGAATGTCGTAGTTCAACTTTTTGTAATAAATAAAATAAATTATAAGTATTATCCCAGGTTACCAGGTCCCATGGTTATGGTTATATACTTATACAACCATAACCATGGGACCTGTAAAGGGCCCGAAATTTCGGTTTGTTTGAAAAAACAAATATACGCGATTTAAATCCGAAAAAATAGTTTCATTTCCTATGTGTAACAATCGCGAAAACCTAAGAACTCGATAAATTATAAGATATTTATTCCGCTACAAAACATAGGAAACATTTAAAAATTAATAAAAAATAATATTGAGTGATTTGAACAAAAAGGTTTTAAAATTTTAGTGTCCCTCTAAATATGTCCATGAGTATATTACATTGATTTTAAAACATGAAAAATTCACCAAAACTAGGCTGTATAGTTTCAGACCTTTGCATTTTCCTTTACTAAAAGATGAAAAAAACAGCAACTTACACTGTATATAGTTGTGATACCTGCAAAGATATCGGCTGCGGTGAGGTTATTCAAAAATCTCTCACTAGATGTCACTAGTGGCGACGAATGCCGAGAAATCAGTACAAAGATCTATAACAAAAAACACATAGGAGAATTTCGACGATTCGGTAACTCGTGCCTCGGATGGTTAGAGCAATGATACGGTGCAGCATGGACGTGGTTTCAAGTCCCACCGGGTCGATGAAAATTTTTCTGTGTGTTAGAACCATGTGTTCATAATCATTACAACTTATATTAATTTTCATATCAAATAGAGTTTTATCATATTCACAACGACATTATGTGGCAAGTGTCACGAACGTTATTTTAGCTTTAATTTATTGTGTAACATAGAATACTTTTGAATTATATCGCTTTGTTATTGCGCTAAGTCGTCTTTCGCATCCATTCTTTTTGTCATTATTCAGTGCTAGATCTTTTTACTATCCGTTTCTTTCGCGACGTTTATCTCTGTCTATTGTGTAGGAATATAAACCCAGCTTCGTGAGAATAGAGTATTGCCTAAATTCTGTACAAGGTGTTATTTTATGTACATTTATTTGTTTTTATCTGAAGTTTTCGTTCTGTTTCGTTATACATCGCGTAATTTCAAGATTTACATGTTTTCATATGAAAACATAAAGATGGGTAGCAAAGATTTGGTGAATTTGGTATTTTAATTTTTTTTAATGATACCAAGTGGAAGCCGTGCAGGCGTGGTAAGCGACACGCCTGTCCATAGCAGTTGCTGTGCCATTAAGAGCACATAAATCGCAAAGATCTGAGGGGCACTGCCTCTGCACGCGTCACCCTGAGACAGTAAGTTGATATATGCCATATGCCTGTAATTTCACCAGCACCTTTACATAGGCCACCCCCAAAGATTTCCAGACTAGTCGATCGGACGCGGCGTGCATCGGTTACCCGCCGCCCTTACCAGGTCATCCGTCCATCTAGTAGGGGGCCGTCCCACTGAACGCTTTCCGGGTCGTGGTCTCCGTTCGAACCTTTCTCGCCCAACGCCTGTCAGTTCTACGAGCTATGTGCCTTGCCCACTGCCACTTCAACTTGCTAATCCTTTGAGTTATGTCGGTGATTTTCATTCTTCAACGGATCTCCTCATTTCTGATTCGATCACTTAGAGAAATACCGAGCATTGCTCGCTCCATAGCTCGTTGAGTGACTTTAAAGTTATTTTATGAGGCCCAATAGCAAGTGACCATATCTCAGAGCCGTAGGTCATCGCTCTAAACAAGGAACTCTACTGCTTCTAAAATTCTTTTCAATAGTTATCACTTACAGAAAGTACCAAAACGACACCATTAATATAAATTGATAGCATTAATATATTACCTATTCACATACATACGAAACCCTAGTAACCCTGTATCGCGGGTTTCATGGACAAACACATAGACAAATTACAAAAACTCCACCTACAAACTCACGAGGGATTTATTTATTTTATTTTATTTATTATTATTAGGATTATTAGGGTATACAAATGTTATGTAATGTATACATACCTAGTTTTAAGAAGTTAGTATTAAGAAGTGCTTATATTTGTGTAAGAGCGTGCTCGCCAACTAACTTTTTCCAGTTTGGCGGTACTATATACATAACTATTATATAATGACTTTTATGAATAAATAACTAAAAAAAATAAAGAATTGAAATTCTTCTTCTTCTTCTTCTTCTTCTTCTTCTTCTTCTTCTTCTTCTT